ATTGGGAAGATAGACGAGGTTGAGCAGTTGAAGTTTTTAGCTGAAGTGGAAAAATATGAAACTAATCGATGGTGGGAGAAGATTGGACCAATTGAATCTAACCCCCCTTCCCCTGGTACTCTGGTGGTGTTTCCTATTAAAGCTAAGAAGTTGGGGTCTAGCACCCCAATAAGACCCGTTATTGATGCCAGACTGAGGAATTTATACAGCCCAGTTGGGTCCTATATTGGTCCGTCGATAGCGTCTATCCTCCTGAACCTGAGATTAAGATATAGGAAATTCTCTAGAGTCTTGGTGAGAGATGCGAGCTCTGCATTTTACAGAATCCGTTTGGAGAAGGATTCCATGGTGGAACTGGTGGCTAATGGTAACCTTTACCGATGCTCTCGGCTATGTTTCGGCCTAAGAGCTGGGCCCTGTTGTTTGTGGTCTGCTTTGGTTTTTATTCTTGACCGAGCACTTTCGGAGATTCCCGATGAGATCAAGGCACATCTATGGGATTGTGCCATATACCTCTATCTCGATGATTTGACGGTGATAATAAACGAAGGTGGTGAGTCTCCACGCCTCGTTGATGGGAAATCGATCGGTGATATCTTGTTGGATAAGATTATAGAAGTTGCCGGTCGGTACGGTTTCGACTTTCCCAAAGCCAAGGGTTTTGATAGTATGACTCAAAGAAGCTTTAAGCATCTTGGTATATTATGGGTATTTGGGAAAGATAGTCCCGGAAGTCTCGGCTTCTCTTGCATCAAACATAAGATTGGTACCATCCGTGATAATGATGGGAAAATCAAGACTATGTGGACGAAGCGGTCACTGTATTCGGTTTCTGCTATTGCTAGCAGTGGGTGTGATCCTTTACTTATACATGGTTCTGAACGGCTAGCTAGTGATGTTTTGAAGATAGTCGGTGGTGCCCTTGCCAGTGGACTCAAATGGGATGATGAGTTTGTTGTGGATCCAAAGAATCCGGCTTATCATGTATTGTCTTCATGTCTCGACACTCTTGAGACCTATCAGAACTCTGAATGCTATCACTCAGTATGTCAATTACAACCTGAGGATGAGCTCCATGTTTATGTTGATGCAAGCTCGGTAGCATGGTCATGGGTTATGATGAGTTATAGTGTCGAGAATCAGACTGAGTCATTACTACAGTCATCTGCGGGTATTTTCAAGGATGGCGCGCGTAGCTACCATATCAACCGTAAGGAGCTTATCGCTTTGTCAAAAGCTGTTTTGGCTATTCATGGTGTGCTATCGGGGAAGTGTAAGCACCCTTTGATATCCCAAGTGGTGGTGTACAGCGACTCGCAGACGGTTTGTCGTTGGACAACCACTAATAGATGCTCGGTGAAGAGCCTCGAACGAGTTGTTGTAAGAAGGCTTACCGAGTCTATCAGGGAAATTATTACTGATTTGGAGTCTACGGGTGTTTCTGTGGTTGTACGTAAGGTAGCTACCGACGCCAATAAAGCTGATGCTCTGTCTAGGTTACCGCTGTTATGGGGTTACGATCAGTTGGGATTGTGTGGATAAAAATGACAAAGCGGTCTTCCCTAGCGCTAATTTAGTGCATATGGCGCAGGGGGGTGAGGAGACGCTTGGTCAGGATGAGTCAAAATTGTTGACTGGTATATTTGCTCGTGATTCTTTGAAG